AAATTTCTTTTTGGCAACAATGTGCACCTCTCACAGACTCCCATCTATCCCTCCAGAGCAGCATAGTTTTTGGTTTCCCACTTAACAAGTTGTCCATGTTCTCTAACTTTTGCTGCATAAACACCACTACATTTTTTTCTCTCTCTGATTCAAAGCATTCTTTCATCCTCAGACTAATGGAAGGTTACCATTAGTCTAAACTGAGGTCTGTGTGTGTGTCAATTTCCTCAACAGTAAATCTTACTTTACAGGATTGATAAGCAGACTTAAGAGTATTAAATCAATTAATATTTCTAAAGCATTTAGAACAATGGTTGGCACAGAGCAAGTGCTATGTAATCAACTATATAGTAGCTTATATATCATAAACATATTATGAGCTTAAATGGTAAGTATACAAATGTACACGTTTTACTAGTTAAAATACAATTAAAAAACTATTTGATATTCTAAGTCTAAAAATGAGCTAGAATATCACAGCAACTGGGATCTGACATGTACTATACATTAAACATCTAACACACAAAAAGCACAATTCTACCTAATTACTGGCTATGTTAATCTAGGTAATAGTATGTGATCTAAAACTAAAAGTGGAACCTTGAGAGACATCTATTTAAAACCCCTTTAATAACAGTACACTGCTTTCTTAGAGATGAAAAGGCTCTGGGGAGGTTATTTTAAATAATGCCAGTCTCTTCAAAAAAGTTGTCCAGAATTTTGAGTAGTTTTTTCCTTAAGAAATTTGTCTGAAGCAAACAAAAGCGCTCCAAAAATTCCACTGATGTGGGTATGTTTTCAAAAGCATCCCCAAATTATAATGATGATGATTAAAGGAAGTGGAAGAGTATAATCTAAAATCACATTTCAGCTTTGCTAAAATAAAGCTGTGGGAACAGGATAAGACACTTGACATTTATGAATAAATTATTGGTAAGCCTTCTCAGCTCTTGTTTTCTGAGTCTGAAACTTTTAAGAATCAAAACATGTTAACTATGTAAAAACATGGTTTTATGAAAATATTAAGTGAAAAAAGTAGACCACACATTGTATGCTCAGTGTGATTATAACTGTTCAAATCTGTGAAATACCTCCATCCATTTATCTGCTCATCCATCTATAGATTAGAAAGCAGACTTAAGAGATGAGAATGGCGGCTACATGGCACACAGCATTCCATTTTAAAGTGAGATTTGGGGGCTTCCCTGGTGGTGCAGTGGTTAAGAATCTGCCTGCCAATGCAGTGGACATGGGTTCGAGCCCTGGTCCGGGAAGATCCCACATGCCGCGGAGCAACTAAGCCCGTGCACCACAACTACTGAGCCTGCGCTCTAGAGCCTGTGAGCCACAAATGCTGAAGCCTGTGCACCTAGAGCCCGTGCTCCGCAACAAGAGAAGCCACCGCAATGAGAAGCTCACGCACCGCAACAAAGAGTAGCCCCTGCTCGCCGCAACTAGAGAAAGCCGGCGCACAGCAACGAAGACCCAACACAGCCAAAAATAAATAAATAAAATAAATAAATTTATAAAAAAATAAAAAATAGAGATTTATACCAAAACAATTTTTACATTTGCAACCATAACTGTCACTAAAGCAATAACCGATTCATGCAAAAATTACCAATGGGTTCACTGTTAGGGAAGAATAATATTCCAGAATAGGATATTCACACAGTCTCAAAGATAAATAATAAATACATAGGTTACTTATGAAGTACAAAGGGAAAAAGGTACCTTTAGAGTGAGGCAATCTGGTAAATCCTACCTTAACTAAGTGATCCAATTTAGCATCACCAATGATAGGACAACTCAGAGCAATGCCTCCTGATGCTGTGCCTTCTCTGTAGTATTCTCGTCAGAAATGTTTAATCTGAATCTAATCATGTGGAAACGAGACAAATGCAAACTGAGGGACATTCTGCAAAATAACTGGCCTAGATTCTTCAGAAATGCAATTTTCTAGGGAACTGTTCTACATTAAAGGAAATTAAAGAAACATGAAACCTAAATGCAATGCATGATGCTTGAATGGATTTTAGGAAGGAGGAAGTCCAATTATAACACATTACTGGGACAACTGTGGAAATCTGAATAAGGACTGTAATCATTCTAAATAGCACTGTATTAACATTAATTTCCTGAATTTGATAATTGCATTGTGGTCATGTGAAATTAATGCCCTTGTTTTACAGGATTAAACGTAAGTATTTATTGGATTAAACTGAATTATGAGATTAATCTGAATGTTTGTAAATAACTCTCTAATGATTCAGGAAAAAAGAAAAAATATATAGTGTAAAACTAACATGGCAAGATGTTAGGAACAGATAAATTTAGGCGAAGGATACAGGGGTATTCATTGTTTTTTCTTGCAATTACTTTAGGATTAAAATATTTTTAAAAGAGCTAGGGCAAAAAATCCATCTTTGTTTTAAAATTCTACATGATCCAGAATGGACTCCACTATAGTTAGAGTCACCAAATATTTACAAATAAGACTAAAGAGGCAAAAAGAAAACATCTACTTTTAAGTAGCAATGATAACCTGTTAGTCCACATTTCCCTCAAAAACCATTAAGGTCACAGCAAGAAACCATTTCCTAGATGGGGAACTTAAGAAGTTTAAAGAAGAATTCTTGGGAATTCCCTGGTAGTCCAGTGGTTAGGACTCAGTGCTTTCACTGCCAGGGCAGGGGCTCAATCCCTTGTCAGAGAACTAAGATCCTACAAGCCATGAGGTGTGGCAAAGAAAAAGAAAAGAATTCTTTTATTATTATATAGATGTAGTATATATAATCAGAAACAAACCTGAGTTATAATTAAGTTATAAAAAATAAAAGTCCAGAGGCAGAAGATACACTGTCTATATGTGGTGAACAGAGGATTTACTTGCCAGAAAAAGTAACTGTTGCAAACCCTCAGAATTATTGCTCTATAATTGGGCAGATAAGATCTACTATTCAGTAATTTTATTCAATAACCATTACTGAACACTGATTATGTGCCAGTGGTCCTGTACTTAGAGTGCATAAAGGGTAAGACAAAGTCCTTGCCTTGAAGAACTCAGCCTATAAAAGTCTCTTATCAATTATAACTTAATTAAAAAATAATCCTCTATATGTCCTTATAAAATCCTTATTTAACTTCTAAATTTAGTCTAACTTAGTCTGTAGGCAACCTAGAGATCATTTGCAACTAGTATTTAAAAGCAATTACACTTTTCTACTTATTTTAAAAATCAGTAATTTGCTTCCATAATATTTACAGGCCGAATTATTAAACTTTATAATAAAGACTTTATTAGGACCCTACACAGAAGTTCATTCCAAACAGACAAAAGTTGGAGGGAACAGGGAATCTTCCTCTGGCCTCTCCTCAGTCAAAGGCCTCTGCTAGTTTGAACCCTGACCGGGCAAGTTTCATTGAAGAAGCTGTCTTCAAGTACAATTAAATCAGGAGTCGTGAAGAGCTTATTGTCAATCTATGAATTTCGTCTGCTTGTTTGCTCTGGCTGAAAGAATTCATCAATCAATCTGAGATTCGTCTCTTATTATGGATTCTTATAAATTAAATCATAAATAACTCAGAATCTAAAAACTGTGACAATCCTGAATAATCTTAACCCCCGTAAAAGGATCTGTAAATCATAAAGGATATGCTAAAGTTCAAAGTTTTTTTGTTTGGTTTGTTGTTAATTAATTAATTAATTAATTTTTGGCTGCGTTGGGTCTTCGCTGCTGTGCACGGGCTTTCTCTAGTTGTGGCGAGTGGGGGCTACTCTTCGTTGTGGTGCGTGGGCTTCTCATTGCAGTGGCTTCTCTTGTTGCGGAGCACGGGCTCTAGGTGCACGGGCTTCAGTAGCTGTGGCACGCGGGCTCAGTAGTCGTGGCTCACAGGCTCTAGAGCACAGGCTCAGTAGTTATGGCACACGGGCTTAGATGCTCCGTGGCATGTGGGATCTTCCCGGACCAGGGCTCGAACCTGTGTCCCCTGCTTTGGCAGGCGGATTCTCAACCACTGCACCACCAGGGAAGCCCCATAACGTTCAAAGTTTTAAGAAAAGCTTAGGAACGCACAATTTTATGTCTGGGTGCCTATAAGTAATTCTTAAATGGTTCACAAAAAAGATAAAAAGACGATAAACATCGTGGAGACTCCTATTTTTCATTTCTGCTGAGAAGTACTGTATCACTTAGTTTAAATTGTCTGAGCAAAAGGTCCCACTTAAAGTGAGCATAACTGTTAATATATGCTGCTATCTTTGGTATTTCTTTTCTCTCAGATTAAAGAGAGATTAAGAATGACTAAGGAATTAACACAACATTGTAAATCAACTATACTTCAATAAAAAAAAAAAAAAGAATAATAAGGGAGAACCTCTTTGTTAACTGCAACAGTTGTAACTAAACTTTACAGAGTGCCTGACCTAAATGAAGCCTTTCTCTAACGCAAATTAAGTTGAGCCATCAGGATTCTGTATAACATGGGCTCTAGAACCACACTTGAACTTATATTATGTGCTAGAATTTACTGGAATTTAAAAAATATATATATTGTGACCTTTCAGGTTAAAAGAGGTTTCAAAATGATTTATTCAACAGAGACTTTCACAGCTCATAAATGTTTCAAGTTACTCTTGGGAAACTTAGTTCATCACCTGAAAAAGTGATTTCACTTTTAACAAAAATAAATTTGAGTTTATTTTTAAGAAACAAAAGCATCCATTTCTTCTACATAAAGCCTTTTGTTTGTCCTAAACCCGAGTTAAAACAGGAAATTCTATGGTCAAAAGAGACTTTTTTTTTTACTATCTAGAAATATATTTCTGTAACTGAAATTAACATCCTAATCACAGAGGTAATCTGAGGGATAATGTTCAAGCCCTGGGTATGTAAGAAGGTAGTGCAAGGAGGTAAAGAATCGGAGAGGATGGCAGGAGATAAGCACAGGCGTGTACAAGGCCCCTTCCCACCCTGCCTGTGGAAACGCCCTCTTCTGTCCCCCATGAACACAGATGAGCTGGGACAGCTTCTGACTGTGATAAAACCATGTTTTTCCTAGAATCACTGTTTCTTCAATGGTGGTTTTTTATTAAAAGAAGAACTATTCAAATGGATGGTAAGAAATTCAGCTTGTATCAATACACAAATAAGTTTACTTAAAAACACCTCCGTTACATATTTTTAAAAGTTTCAGAATCTCTCCCCACCAGTGTCCATAAGCTAGAATAGCTTCACGTGAAACCTGCAGTCTGACCTAGGAGAATCAATAAGTGATGGTCTAGGTACTTGCTCAGACATTTCTCTTGTCACCGAAGAGACAGTCACAAACAAAACACATCTCTTGCCTGGTTGAGTAGGAAGAATCCACATGAAAGAGCTTCATAAAACGTCTATGAAGGAGAACTGGTAATATCAGAAGAGTTCCAGCACTTCAATTGAATATAATTCTCTATTAGTCTTTTCTTGATTTAATTTCTGTAGCTCACGAAAACTTACTTCAATCTTGTTGAGCTCAGAACAAATGCTTATCTAAAGAAAAAAGTTCCAAAATAACTTTTACCATGACTTGTACATATGGATAAATCCTCCACAATTACTTAGGGCTATTCCAAGAAAAATTTTAATAAATTATAATTTTGGTGCTTCTTGGTTACAAACAGAATTCAGTATAATCAAATAATTACATACCTGGGATTTCACAAACTTGTAAAGACTTAACAGTAGCCTTTTTGCTTCTGGTATCATTACCACAACAGTAAAATTAGCATCTAGAAGTAGACATATCCAATCCATAATCTGAAGATAAACAGGAAAAGGAGTTAAGATTTTAAATTTAATTTTAGGTTAATTCATTTTACAAAGTCCATAATAGTATCAAACAGTTATAAGAAAAAATAAGTCTTCTTTACAGAAGTCTGAACATTTTAGAGATGAAGGAATTTCTAAGCAATCGAAAAAGCCTCTTTTCTGCTTTTCTACTTGTCATTTTACAAGCATAATTGGATCTTTTCCATCAGATTAATCAGTAAAAAGAAAGCCACAGTGATATTTAATCCAAGGGAGAGCTAGCACTTTTTATTTTAAAAAATTCTTGATAACTATTCGCAGCTACAAAAAAAAGAACCCACTCATCTCCTATTCTGAAATATACACTATGACCCAAGAATAAGGTGTCGTGTATTATAGATAAGGTACCAAGAACTAAAATAAAATTATTACTATACATTTATTAAAGTATCCTATGTAGTCTACACCTTCAAATGGTGTTGTTAACATGCAAATATCAGTGTCATGAAAAAGCATTAAGGAAACCAACTATCCATTTGCAGGGAGGGGGGAAAGCTGATACCTATGTAACTCTCTACACCAAAATAAACTTTATATGTATCAAAGAGTTAAACAAAGAAAAGGAAAAGAAATGTACTAGGGGAAGACAGGATGGCTATTTTTACACTCTTAGAGTGGGAAGGGCCTTAAGCATGGCGTACCCAAAAAGAAGCAGTAAAGGAAAAGCCTAATAATTTTGACAGCATGAAAATTAAAAACCCATCTATGGCAAAAATTACACTAAAGCAAGTAAAAAAGAGTGATAGGAAAAAAGTATTTGTAATACACTTCATAGAAACAGACTAATTTCTCTTAATATATGAAGAATAATTTATAAGGCAAAATGATAAAGACAGGAAATGCAATAGAAAAATTGGACAAAGAACCTGATTAGGCAGTACACAAAAAGGAATATAAATTGGCAAGAAATGATGGTCCACCTTTCTTATTATCAAAGAAATGCAAATTAAAACAAAACACTTACTTGTTACCTACTTGACTAGCAGATAGTAAGGTCTCATATCTTGGTGGCCATAGTACCTCTTGTCACAACCCTTTGGAAAGGTAGCCTGGCATTTTTGAAACTAAAAATGCATGCACCCTTTATCCAGTAATTTCACTAATGGGAATTTACCCAAGAGGTGTTCTCTCATAATATGCAAGAATATTTCTATAAAGATGCTCACTGAAAGTTTGTTTACAATAGCAAAAAACTGTAAGCAATTTAAATGCCAATCAATAGGGGACTAACAAATTAAGATTTTCTATAAAATCAAATAGTATGCAGTGGTTAAAAAGAATGTGGCAGATGTATATAGCCTGATTCAGAAAATGTGTAAAGGGCTTCCCTGGTGGTGCAGCGGTTGAGAGTCCGCCTGCCAATGCAGGGGACACAGGTTCGTGCCCCGGTCTGGGAAGATCCCACATGCTGCGGAGCAGCTGGGACCATGAGCCATGGCCGCTGAGCCTGCGCGTCCGGAGCCTGTGCTCTGTAACGGGAGAGGCCACAACAGTGAGAGGCCCGCGTACCGCAAAAAAAAAAAAAGAAAATGTGTAAAATGTAGCAATGAGTGAAAAAAAGACAAGCTGCAGAATAGCATGCACGTGATCTAATTTGCATTAGGAAGACAAGAGAAAGATAAGTTAAGGTACAGAAAGCAAATTTCTAGACATAAATGCAACTCTTAGTATTGGTTATCTCTAAGACAGACTTGGGATTATTAGGTTATTAGGAGGACACTTATTATCACTCTCTCCCAATGAAGCTGAGGAAATTCTTGAAAAGGGTCACAATAAAGAATCAGGAATTTAAGATGAATTTAAGTTCCTTAGTATAGAATTATGGCTCTAAAAAATCCATCTACCAAATTGAGTGATCCACTCCAGTGGTTTGTGTACCTGGTGAGGGAGGAGGGTCGTAGGAACCATGAGACGGAGAAATCAGTTCCTGGATTCCAGATTCTGATACTATATATATATATATATATATATATATATATATATATATATATATATAAAAAACACCTTTTTTTTTTTTGACATATTTTTCCCAGCATCAGATCAAAATAAAAAGATTACCTCACCTGGTTCAGGGTTGGAGGGTGTATTCCAGGAAGAGTCATAGTAGCATTTTCACTACACTTCAGATAAAGGAAATACAAATACTGGAGAAATAGCTAGGTGTTGGGGGGGAAAAAGAACAATCACTTTGATAGGAAAATTTTCTCTATGTGAAGCTAACAAAGAGACTGGAAAGAATTTTAAGAGGCTACTGAATTTAACTGTACATCAAACAGATATGCTAGACATCAGGGGACACATGAATCAAATGCACTCCCTGCCATCAAAGGAGAGTTCATTTGGTTTGGGAGGGGTGGGTGAGGAGCTTATTTTGTTTGTAAATAATAAGTAGAGAAGAGAGAATCCTTCTCTGGGCAATTCTTTTTAGTTCCTACTCGTTTCTAACTTAGATGGATGAACCCGGCCTTCGGGTCTGGCACCAGGAACACATCAAGCTCTGCCTCCTCCAGGTCACTCTAGTCTCCCAGGCACGGTTTTTCACCTTGAGGGCTGGGAAATCTCTTACTCAGATGAAAGAACTTTATAACCTTTCGAATGCCCTAGAAGCTGCGTAGAGTTAAGGAGCAACACTTAACCCAGAAATAAAATCCTGTAGGATTCGTAAGAACACTCACAGTGATGTGTTGTGCTGGGATGTCCTTCAAATGAGGCAGAAGAAACGTCTCGCTATATGCTGAATGAAGAATTGCATTTCTACTTGGGAATAAAGGAAAATCTCATTTCAACCAATAAAGACTTTTCTACTGAAATAATGAGTAATTCCCTTCCCCAGTAACATTTTTCTAAATTTATACAAAAGTTCTACTTTTCTAGAAGAGTGTTATCACTGAACATTCTCCTCGTCACTAGAGATCATCTGGAATATTTTGCTATTATAGATAATTGGTGTTTATTCAGTATACTAATTTTTAGAAGTGATAGAGCTTCTATCTTAGTACAGCTTCTTAAATAAGGTTTAAGTAAGTTGTTTGAACACAGCATTGAATGTAATCCATTTTCAAGCAGAAACTGAAAAAAATTGAAAAAAAGAAAAGGAAAAAACCACCTTAAATTATCTAATTACCCCTTAGTTTTTGCTTGGCATTTGACTACATCCCTGGGAAAGAGACAATACAAGGGAAATGGTTTCAAAGGATACAGTAGCGCTGCTCTTTTCCCTGTAACAGGGCATGAAGTGCTCTCCTCTGTTGCAGCCTGAGGCTTCTCAATCAACTCCTGAGCACAATTCTCACAGTTATCTTCTTCAGGATTGAAACCATTTTGAAGAATTTCAGTTTGTTGTTCTATTTCCCCATCTTGTATAGTAGCAGTATAGTCAGAAACTGACTCCATATTGATATCTGTTTCTTGAAGACTGTCATCACCAATGCTATCATGTTAATTGAAAGCAGGAAATAATTCTTACAAGTAGTTGAACTTACTGGAAAATTTTTCATTTTCTAAGACTTTAAAGTTTTAGAAATAAAATAAAACAATAGATTAAAAATGCAGTGAAAGTAAAGGACCATCAGCTTCTAACTTACCTCAAGAAAATTTTTAAGCAAGCGCAGGTGACTGACTCAGGGATGTCAGGGAACTGCTGTAGGCAGATCTGTAGGATCTGCACATCTGTCTTTTCTAAGGCAGACTCCATTAAGCCAGGGCACAAGCTAAGACCAAAAACATGAATCATTTATACATATTAAGAAACTCTCAATTGCAAATAATTCATAAGGCTTTTACAGAGTATAAAAATCAGAACTGCAAAAAACAAGGTCAAAAGAGTTATGTGTATAAAGTTTGGTGTACAGAAACATTTACCTGTATAGAAACATTTACCTGTAAGAAAGCACACGCGTTTGGATAAGCTGCATCAGACAGTTCCGAGGATAAAACGATGGTTCTGCTTTATATCTTCCCAGAATTCCTATTACTACATCCCCAATAATAGTATGAAAGTCCGGGGTCCGCTTAACAGCCAAAAATTTACGTAGTTCTACTTCAATATGTTTTTCTGAATCTTTCTGAAAGGGCAGAAGTAAAGAGTTCAGTGTGGTACATTAATAAATGTCGCTCTGCACTTAAAAGTTCCTAGCTTAACATTGTCTTAAATCACTAACAGCATTCATGCATTCCTGTGAAACTGGAGTTGATACTACAATTTACTGGACAAAGACAAAATACAAAGAAGAAAAAAAAAACTCAGGGATTTAGAAATCAAAATTTCTAAGAAGCTAAATTACAAACATTCAATGCAAAGGTGAATGAGATATGAGGCCACCACCATCACAATGATCTCACAAAATGCTTAGTGAGAGTCAAATAAGCCAAAGCATCACTCTGACAACCTCAATATACTATACAAATGTTAGCCATAGCTCTAAAAATGATCATAAGAGGAAGACAGAATAAAAAGTACATAGGATTTCTTTTAACCATGAGTTGATTTTTCATATTTCTAATATTTTAAAATTTACCTGTACGGCTGCTAAGAGTTGTATGGATGGTGGGACCTCCGGCTGTACACTCACTTCAATTTTCCTTCTCCTTAACTGGAATTCAGTAAATTGATTAGGATCTCAAAACAACACAAAAGATGCAATAGACATTTAGAAGAATATAAAATGTCCCAAAGAGACTGGCACACTTTTGCTCTAATCACAAACTTTTTTTTTTTTTTAATTTATTTATTTTTGGCTGCATTGGGTCTTCGTTGCTGCGTGTGGGCTTTCTCTAGTTGTGGCGAGTGGGGGCTACTCTTCATTGCGGTGCGCGGGCTTCTCATTGCAGTGGCTTCTCTTGTTGCGGAGCATGGGCTCTAGGAATGTGGGCTTCAGTAGTTGTGGCATGCGGGCTCAGTAGCTGTGGCTTGCGGGCTCTAGAGCACAGGCTCAGTAGTTGTGGCGCAGGGGCTTAGCTGCTCCGGGGCATGTGGGAACAGACCAGGACTCGAACCCGTGTCCCCTGCATTGGCAGGTGGGGAATCTTAACCACTGCGCCACCAGGGAAGTCCATTCACAAGCTTTTTTAGGGTTTGGTTTTCTTATAGTGAAAAGTGGGTCTATTTCAACTTTTAACTTAAATATCTTTAAGGTTTTCATTTTTTCATAAATAAAATCTCTATACTCTATTATTACTAATTGCAAACTGGTCCATTTTTACACCTGGGTCTTACACACATGCCCATAAAAACTACTAGACGACATGTGTCACTTTCAGATAAGGGCTGTCAGGTTACTGGGTTCAAGCTTCAAATCACCCCATCATTAAGAGCAAGTTGTAAGAGTTGTACAAATATGAATTATTAAAATAATTCAGCCTTTTCTGTTTTTTAACATCTGTAGTAACATTTCTATTTCAACTACCAAACTTACGATTCTCTTTGACTGCTCTGAGTTCTGAGATCCAAGTCCATATCCCTGTGATGTTTCCCAGTTTACAAAATGAGTCATGGCATGAATGTCTAAGAAAACACAGAACACACAATTTCTGGAATTTTTTGACCTATTGGTATTTACCCAGCCAATCAATCAAACAAAGAACAATAAAACAACAACCACTCACGTACAATTCAAAAGCGGCTTTAAAGTCCATTTCATTCTACCAATAACCTCAGATCAGTAAATCATAATATCCTAAAAGGCTATGTGCCCAACAGATGAGGCCACTGGTAAACCAAGGAGGGAAAAAGCATTTCTGATTTTGTCTGCAGGACTTTCCCGTTGCCCCTAAAGTCAGAACACTGGCGTTCAAAATGCAGCGTAGCTCTTTAACCTGCAGCAGTATCTGCAATGTGGACTGTTCCCAAGGTAGCTTCCTGACCAATAAAATCTGAATGAACACTGGCAAATTTCAACACTAAGAACAGGTTATGCAAACCGATAGCTGTGAAAATCTACATATCAAACTAGAAGTTTATAAATTGGTTTTTAGTAATAAAACATTTAAGTTCCTACCTGGATCTTGACTATGCTTGAGTTTTCCAAGAGCACCTGCTAATGATGACACCTCACACTTGTATGGGATTACAGTTAGAAATTTTCCATGTAGCATAAACAAATTTTCCCCATGATACCAGAGCTACAAAAAAGTTATCAAAAATGTAAGCAATCCTTTTTCTCTTCTAATATCTGATTCAACAAAGCCATATAACTTATAACAATAACTTGTGGTGGAAGTAATCTTAATATAACAGAAAAGGATAAGGTGAAGTTAAGCAACTTTCCAGAATAATCTCATACGTTCAATTTATTAATTGAGGTAGGTTTACAAAGCTCTTATTTTTGCCCATGTCTGAATAAAGCATAATTTAAAGATAATTTCTTTTGACTCATAAAAATTTGATCAACACATATATTTAAAATAAATGAATTGTTTAAAATAAATATTGTCAGTATTACACATCTATTAACGTGATACTCACAAAGGCTACTGTAACACAGGCAAACTGTTTTGATGTACGAAATGAAAAAAGCAGAATTTAACAGTTTCTGTCTCATGATCTCAATTATAAAATTGTAAAACTGAGACAGGTATATGAACAAAAAGCTCAAAGGAACACGGAAATCAAAAGTGAAGTTTGTTAGAGCAGTGGAATTGTGAACGGCTAATCTTGTGAAAATTACTTGTTTAAATATAAATTAGAATTCTATGCTAAGAAACATAGTCTCCTTATCCTCTAAGTACAATGATCAACAACATCCCATATCTTGATTTATTTATATCTTATATTCACTAAACAACCAGTACTTACTGAGTACCTTTGTTAAGCACTGAAGATATGATGGAGAACAAAAAAGACAAGGTCCCTTGCCTCAGGAAGTTTATAGTCTGGTCACCTTAAATTTTAATTCTTTAAGTATTCTTATGTAATTCCATGATAACATTTAACATATAACCTAAAAGACTAATTTATTAGGCAAAGTAACAGCCCTTGGATATAGTTCAAAATACAAAAGTAAAAAGATAAAACCAAAGTGAGACTAAAAAGTTTTGTTAACTAGCTAACTGTTCTCTCCTGATCTATAATTAGCTTATAATTTAGTCTTTTGAAAGTGACAAACATAAGGAAACTATAAAAATAACCAAATTAAATATAATCTCGCAGGTAGAAAATATTTCTTAATTTATTTTAATCAAAACTGATAAAATATTTAGATCCGAAGAGGTCTCTTCCCTTACAGTCTATTTGTCAGACACAAAAATAAGTACATTTGAAAAAAACCCCAAAGTGCAAAAACTTACTTGACCGCTGGTCCCTTGTGGTAACTCTTTTGAAGTCTGTAGTGTTTGAAATTTTGTATTCCATATGGAGAGGCATTCTATAAAATAAGACATACAAATTCAGAAGTTGGGACTTCCCTGGAGGTCCAGTGGTTAAGACTCCGCGCTTCCACTGCAGGGGGTGCAGGTCTGACCCCTGGTCGGGGAACTAAAGATCCCGCATGCCTCGTGGTGCAGCCAAAAAATTAAAAAAAAAAAAAAAAAGTCCCAAGTTCAGAAGTCAGCCAAATATAAATATATGGTGCTGGGGGTGAGGAGGAGGGAGGGAGGGAGGAGGGAAGTCATAGCTAAACACATAGGTCTTGCTTTATTAAGAACAAAAATGAGTAATGAAGACAGAAATTCACAGATATGAGATATCATGACAAGAAGTGGACACATATGCAGGCAGGGGGCATATGGGAATCTGTGTACCTTCCCCTCGATTTTGCTGTGAACCTCAAACTTCTCTAAAAAAATAAAGCATTTTTAAAAAAAATTAATGAATTTTCTATTGAAGTACAGTTGCTACACAATATTACATAAATTACAGTTGTACAATATAGTGATTCACAATTTATAGTTATTATAAAATACTGGCTTATTCCCCATGTTGTACACATATGCTTGTAGCTTATTTTATACATAATAGTTTGTACCTCTTACTCCACTACCCCTATCTTGCCCCTCCTCCCTTCCCTCTCCCCACTGGTAACTAGTTTGTCCTCTGTATCTTTGAGTCTGCTCCTTTTGTTTTATTCACTAGTTTGTTGTACTTTTTAGAGTCCACATATAAGTGATGTCATACAGTATTTGCCTTTCTCTGTCTGACTTATTTCACTTCGCATGTCCTCCAAGTTCATCCATGTTGCTATAATGGCAAAATTTCATTCTTTTTAATGGCTGAGCAGCAGTCCATTATATATATATATATGTACACACACACACACACACAAATATATATACACACATACATATCTACACACCCACACCACTTCTTTACCCACTCATCTGTTGATGGACACTTAGGATGCTTTCCTATCTTGGCAATTGTAAATAATGCTGCTATGAACATTGGGGTCCAGGTATCTTTCTGAATTAGTTTGTTTTTTCAGATATATACCCAGGAGTGAAACTGCTGGGTCATATGGTAGTTCTACTTTTAGTTTTTTAAGAAACCTCCATACTGTTTTCCACAGTGGCTGCACCAATTTACATTCCCACCAACAGAGTACGAGGCTTCCCTTTTCTCCACATCCTCGCCAACACCTATTATTTGTGTTCTTTGTGATGACAGCCACTCTGACAGGTGTGAGGTGATATCTCATTGTGGTTTTGGTTTGCATTCCCCTGATGATTAGCGATGTTGAGCATCTCTTCATGTGTGTGTTGGCCATCTGCATTTCCTCTTTGAAAAAATGTCTATCCAGTTCTTCTGCCCATTTTTCAATTAGGTTGTTTTTTTGACTTTGAGTTGTATGAGCTGTTTATATATGTTGGATATTAATCCCTTATCAGTCATATCATTTGCAAATATTTTCTCCCATTCAGTAGGCTGTCTGTTCGATTTGTCAATGTTTCTTTTGCTGTGCTAAAGCTTTTAAAATTTAATTAGGCCCCAATTGTTTATTTTTGTTTTTATTTCCTTTCTGTTAGCAGACAGATGTAAAAAACTATTGCTGTGATCTATGTCGGAATGTTCTGCCTATATTTTCCTCTTAAAAAAATAAAGTCGGGCTTCCCTGGTGGCGCAGTGGTTGAGAATCCGCCGGCCAATGCAGTGGACACGGGTTCAATCCCTGATCTGGGAAGATCCCACATGCCGTGGAGCAACTAAGCTTGTGTGCCACAACTACTGAGCCCACGTGCTGCAACTACTGAAGCCCGCACGCCTGGAGTCCGTGCTCCACAATGAGAGAATCCACTGCAATGAAAAGCCCACACACTGCAACGAAGAGTAGCCCCCGCTCACTGCAACTAGAGAAAGCCCGCGTGCAGCAACGAAGACCCAACACAGCCAAAAATAAATAAATAAAATTTTAAAAAGAAAAAAGAAGTCAATACAGATGCTGCTATGGAAGGCTCTCTATGATATCTCAGGTAAGTGGATAAATTAAGGTGTACAACAGAGGATAAGGTATGCTACCATTTGTGTAAAAAGAGGAAGAAAAATAAGTAGTAGTATTTGCATATATTTTAAAAAACTCTGGAAAGAGACATGGGAAACTTTACTGAGGTTACTGAGTTTTTGGGGGGTTAGACCAGGAACTAGAGAGGGAGGATGGGGGTTGAGAGAGGAGAAGCACAGCTTGGTAAAGTGGCTAAAAGCCAGGACTTAAGAACAGTAAGATATATGGCATAAGAGTCAACCTGCTTGGGTTGAACCCTAGTTCCACTGCTTAGTTACCTAACATCTCAGTTTCTCATTTGTAAAATAAGGGTGATAATAACTAGACTTTCTCTCATAGGGTTGTTGGAGGATTAAATGACACAGATAATGAAATAATACAAGTAAAACACCTGGCACAGGACAGTATGCCATAAGTGGTTGCTCCTATCTTAAAAAGAAGAAACAAAATACACAAGGATGGCCATATCAAGTTTGTAGTCAATAGGGAGCCTGGCCTGAATAAAGCAGAGTTCTTGCTTTGAAATTGGGAGAAGAGACTGGAAAACGTGGACAGGGTCTAGACTGTGGCGAGAGTTGAATGCTAAACCATAGATTTGGAGTTTTATAGTGTAGGCTGGGAGACCCCAATCTTGCACTAGCCAGGAACAACTGTGTCCTTCATGATAGACTACAATTGTCTGTGTGGAGGGGTGTTTGGGGGTGAGGAGGTGAGGTGATGATGAAAATCCTGCTCTGAAGTCACAGAGACAAAAGGCACACTAGGGCTTCCCTGGTGGCGCAGTGGTTGAGAGTCCCCCTGCCAATGCAGGGGACACGGGTTTGTGCCCCGGTCTGGGAAGATCCCACATACCGCAGAGCAGCTAGGCCCGTGAGCCATGGCTGCTGAGCCTGCGCATCTGGAGCCTGTGCTCCGCAACGGGAGAGGCCACGACAGTGAGAGGCCCGCGTACGGCAAAAAAAAAAAAAAAAAAGGCACACTAGTAGTCCCCAAATTTCAAGCTGTCCAAGACTAATGAATTTATATTCTGCTAAAATGTCACCAAGGTATGAATTCAATCCTCTACTGCAAGTCTTACCAATGTTTCCAATGCCTACAGGCTGGCACAGATATTTGCAGTTTTTATTTAAGACACTGGTGACAAGCAAGGTAGTGAGTGATATAGGAAATGTTTTAGAGAAACTGATCAAGGCAAGATGAAATCAAAGACCTATTCAAGAATTAGGAAGCTACAGTGAAAAAGAGAATGAATTAGGGTGGTAATAAATAAATGAAAAAGAAAGAGGAGACTTAAAAGTACACTTTGATGGAAAAAATCCAAAGGACTTCTTAACTGATTGGATTTTAGTTACCCTTAGAAGCTGATAGTGGTGGTCCCAGGACTGCTACGTGATCTTGATCCAGGATGGTGAGTGCAACACCACTTCGAGCATTGCCAGACACCACGGACTTGAGCAACAGTGATCGAACTACCCTCTGATTTTTTTCTGGGTCACTTGGATGTACTGGTATCAAGGTTTCATATACACATCCATCAGAGCCTGTTGGAAACAAGTATTTATTGTTCCTTATTGGATAAATGATAGTTCTATATCTGTTATAATTAAATGTACTAAGTTGTTAATAAGATTTTACCAATTTGATAGAGAATCCAACCAGAAAAATAAACAAATGTAATAATCACATCACTCTATGCTTTCCCATAAAGAATATACTACAAACCTAAAGTTGATGGAGGAGAAATATTAATAAAAATCTCAGTAAGAAATGTCATGATAACCGTGAAATAAAAATTGTAAATATCTGTAATAACTTAAAATATGAGAGGACTGCCAGGAATACAGACAATTCAATCAGTAAAAGGCTGTATCTCTTATTAGAAATTAATTAGCATTCTGGTCTAAATATTACATTTCTTGTTACTCCAGCACCCTAAAACCTTATTAAATTGCTGGGTTTTGTAGGTCAATTGTATTTTTGGCAATTTCATGTGGTTCTAGCTATGTTACATGAAGATTTTATGACCCTTTGGTTCAGATTCCCTTACTTCAATGTTCAAAAGCTAAAACATAACTCACAAACTTCTGTGTAACAATTAATATGTCCTATAGGTTAAACTTTAAGAAAACCAGTCCCTCTTAAGCAAAGGTATTAAGAGGATTCCAATGACACTCTAGACATGATGAACGAAGGGAGCCTTTTTCTTAACAGCCACTGCAAACGTTTGCACATTGAAAAACTTCACAAAGATTTTAAACTGTGATAACATGAAAATGTTTCCTAAATACTGCTCTGTTTCTTCCTCCCTTAACCTTCCCAAAACAACTTCAAAAGAAGCCATAAAGGGCTGGGGCGAGAGAAGACCACAAAAGGCATTTTTTCCCCCAGATGCATAAGACTGGGATTAAACCTCAGAGCATTAAGTAGAGGTAAACTCCAAGGAATTAAAAAATAATCTGTAAAATGGTGGCTAGTAAGAGTCCAAGACTGCTCTGTTAGTGTCCTTTTACCCACCTGTCTCTGTCACTGCTCAAAAGAATGGCAAACTATAGGTTGGAAAAGAGGAATGGGGAGGCCATGCAGTACCAACCTTAGGTATTTCATGGTTCACTAATTACAATATCAAAAAAACTGGACTTATCATAATAAAGAGTGATTTTTCCTTTTTTATTGGTATTATATTATTTATTGCTTATGATAAAATTTTAAGACATAAAATTTACCTGCAGAGAATTACTGACCTATTGCGTGACTAGACATGGCAAAATGCAAAAAGTGAAGGTATAAATGCTTGTAAGGAAGCATGGAAAGGGAAATACTACAACAGAAAACTGTAAAAACTGAAGACTCGAACTTAAAACACTATCCTGTAATACCCCTTTATTTATAAACTCTGAAAGTTTAAAAAAAATACTTACTTAATGACATCAGAGAGATGAATTTCCGATGCACAGATGTACTAAAACTCTGTGTAACCGATTTTTCTTCTTGTCCAAGTAAAAGTGTGTATTTGCTTAAGATACGTGAGTTAAACTTTTGTACATAAGCAAAGTAATTTCCATGCTGGAAAATAAAAAGTTATTTTATTTTAAAAATATTCCCATTTCCACCAACTATATTTAAATGTTGAGACCAGCTGTTGCCCCACTGTAATTACTTTAATGAGTGCTTAAAAACCTCTTGTCCAATTAAATTTAAAAAGTTATAAAATATATTTAATTCAGGCATAGAAATAATTATAACTAATAGATTTTTCAGTATTTTAAAAATATATTAAAATTTTCTGAAAGAAATACCAAAGTCCAATTTTAGTTTTAAAAATCATACAGATGACTCTGAAATGTCACAAAATGGGCCAGGAATTAAAGATATCGCTTACTTTTTCAGTAATAAAAATCAGCACAGGATGCCTAAATACCATAAAAAACTTTGTCCACCTAAAAAAAGAAAAAGAAAAATTATAAAATGCAAAATCACCAGTTGAAACACACCATCAATCTAAATTTAAGAGATTATCTTTTATTAAATATTTTTTAGAGCAAGAGAGTTAGCAGAGAACACTTAATTCAGTGTTTCAAAATATCTACCACAGGGACCTAGAAGGCATTCCTCCATCAAATGCATCTCTGGATTAAATGCAAGTTGCTGAGCTTCCCAGAACTTTAAAGACAATAACGTGAACTATAAAGTACCAAGGGCATGTAAGACAAGATGCGGTGTTCCCCAAACTTAATTGACCCACCCCTCCTTTTTTCAGAGTCATTTTGGGGCCTAGTGTTCTCAGGAAAACATTAGCATCTCACCTGCCTTCTTCAAGTGACAGCGGGAACTGAGGCATAGGGAGGGTAAAGGGCCTGTAACCAAGGCTGCACAGCCATTTTCTGGCAAAGTGGGGATTAGAACCCAGATTCTCTACCTATATCTTTTTGCGTAAAGATTTCCTCCAAATACAGTTGCTCACACTTTAGAGGCATTCATTGGGTCTAAGATATAACTGGTCACTGTCCACATTGTTGAGTGACTACATACAAGTCTTTGCTTGGACCTTTAAAGATTTAGTTTACATCAGGTGGGCCGGGAGGGGCAGCAAGTTAACCAAACAGGAAATGGGATGAAAGAATAGGAATTGGATAGATGTAAAACTGTGAGATTTCCTTCTATCATTTGTGCGAGTCATTTCCCAAGTTTTATTCCAGAATCTGGGAAAGAAGGGGTCTCAAAGCATTATCCTGATTCCACTAACAAGCTGCACATTTCTTCAGGCGAAAGGGTTCTGACCTTGGCAGTCAGGGCTATATGACAGAAGATTCCGGTCTTGTGGGATTACTCACTTAATTTTCAAATAACTGACTATCCAGTTCTGTTATTAGGACAGGACTCATTTGGCCCCAGTTTCTTCAATCACTTATCACGCCAGAGGCTTTTGAGGGATGTGATTTTGGCTACTGTCTTTTAGACGGTTTTCAATCAGCTTACTTTTATCATGTTTATAATCAAAATACTTTTGAACAAGGCAAAGAATATAAAAAACACAGAGTGCATTTTCTTTTTGGTAAAAATTACAAGTATTAGAACTTACTTAATCACTTCTTCCTCAGAGATAACAGTTTCAATTTTCTGCTGGGGCTCTGCAAGCAAGGCCTCTAAACCACGAATGGCACCTTCCTTGAACAGCACCAAGGGTTCTGTCCCCTGTATTGAATGTATCCTATATACCTCAGCGGACAACTAGAAGAACATAAAAACATTTAAATTTTTATTCTAAAGGAACTGCCACCTAATAGAATCAGGACATTTATAGAAGGCTTATCTTTTTTTTTTTTTTAAATAAACTTGTTTATTTTTGGCTGTATTGGGTCTTCATTGCCGCGTGCGGGCTCTCTCTAGCTGCAGCCAGCAGAGGATACTCCTCGCTGCAGTGCGCGGGCCTCTCATTGCGGTGGCCTCTCTTGCTGCGGAGCACGGGCTCTAGAGCGCAGGCTCAGTAGTTGTGGCTCACGGGCTTAGCTGCTCCGCGGCATGTGGGATCTTCCCGGACCAGGGCTTGAACCCGTGTCTCCTGCATTGGCAGGCGGATTCCCAACCACTGCACCACCAGGGAAGTCCCGGAGAAGGCTTACCTTTAAGGGACTGATTTGCTTTCATTTTTACTCAATTTTGTTTCATAATTATGTATGGTTCCAAAGTTAAATCTAACATAAAATACATTCAGAAGTCTAACTTTTGATCCTATTCTCTATCCTCTCCCCTGCTCACCCCCATATGTAATCACTTTTATTCATTTTTGGTTTATCTTTCCACTGTAAATACTGGAGGTTAGGCTATAACCTGGGTCTCTCAAAACTGGAGGTGAGGAGAGGTACAAACAAAGGCACTAATGCAGAGTTATAAGCGGTTCTGGTATTAGAAAAAGAAAGATGCCATATATAAATACATGAGCCACACACATATATATATGTTTGTGTGTGTGTGTATGTGTGTATGTATGTATGTATGTATACATAGCCTGCAAGCCCAGGAAAAGAAGTTAACACCATATGTAGGATTAAAAAAACAAAAAAAAAAACCCATTGTGTAAAATTCAGGATCGTGTTACTTCAGGGTAAACAAAATGACTGGAGCCAGGTGGCAGCACAGGTAGCTGGCTAGAGGTTTCAAGGGTCCAGGTGACAACTGCAGTTGTATGTGAATCAGCTCTGTTGTGAACCAATTCTAAAATATGCCAATTGTATTTAGAGTTAGACATTTAGAGCCATAAAGAACTTTCAAGATTAACCTAGTTAGAGATCTTCATTTTATAAGACAAAGTTAATTAACATACTTTAGGTCATTAGGAGAAAAGGCACAGTTAGTCATGGTTCTTTTTCACTGCAGTATGTGCCACTTTAAAAATGTATAATGCATAAAACTTGCAGGGTCTGTTCTACCTATTTTAAGAAAGAGAACAATGAAGTTCATTTGCTCTTGCAAGGGACACACCACAAACATTTAAACTCATGGAAATAACTATAAATGTATCATTCATGAATTATTTAAATCCTCAACCTCATATGAAAATAACATATCGTGTAACATTTTATAACATATTAACTCATAAGTTGAGACATTTTACCAAGACATACTGTAGGATAGCTAGAATGAAAAACTGGTTATAACCTTTATGTCATGTTCACGGACACTTTAAGATAAATAACTGCTACATTACAAATTATTCCGTCTCACCAATAAACTAAATAAATGTGTTGGAAAATCCGAAGACTTACTGTCGCTTTAAATACTTTATCCAGGTTTACGTCTTCATTATTCCATATTCTCAAGACCTGAAATAAAAACATACAAGTTAAAAAAGCATTCCAATTTCCATTTACATACAACATGAATAGTTAATAAAATTTGATTTGTTTTGTATATATTATATAAAAGTTTTAAAACTCACCTTATTATCATGTACAACAATATACTCTCCAGTTTGAAAGTTGCACACAGCTGGACATGTTATAATTTGACCTTGTTTCACTGACCAGCTCCCCAAGGGTTTCTGATCAGAAACCTAATGAAATGAACATACAATATTCAAAAAGTCAGTTTCAGACATTAAAGCAATTAAATTTACATTCGGAAGAAATCATTAAAACGATAGCATTTAACAAATCTCCTAAATTAAAACAATAGCTAGTCACAAAAAGACAAATACTATGTGGATTCCACTGAAGACAGAAAGTAGAATGGTGGTTGCCTGGGGTTGGGGAAATTGGGAGTTATTATTTAATGAGTACAGAGTTTCAGTTTTACCAGATGAAAAGAGTTCTGGAGATGGATGGTGGTGATGACTGCACAACAATGTGAATATATGTACTTAATACCCTGAACTGTACACTTATAGTCATTAAGATAGTAAATTTTGTTATGTGTACTTTACTACAATTTAAAAAAAAACTTTAAAAGAGTAGTTAAAATGAAAATATAAGTTCCTAAAGTGAAAATAAGTAAATTAATATCGGCACTTTGATAATGAACAATATTAGTATATTTAAAAAACTGATGCAGTTGTGCCCTTGAACAGGGGCATGAGAAACAGAATAAGGATAGCTGGCATCATGCCAATTCTAATCAGCCACTCTATTCCTATGCAGGAACTGCAAAAAGTCCACTTGACAGCCAGGTAAAAACCAATGGTGTCTTCAGAAGCATCAAAACAAGCAAACAGTATAGTGTACTGTTGGCAACCTGTTCCCCAAACTTCAAAGCAGACAGCTAGCTTTTTTTTTAATTGAAGTATAGTTGTTGCACAATATTATATAAGTTACAGGTGTACCATCTAGTGATTCAGTTTTAAAGGCTATACTCCACTTATAGTTATTATAAAATATTGGCTATATTCCCCCTGTTGTACAATATATCCTTGTAGCTTATTTTATACATAACTGTTTATACCTCTTACTCCTGTATCCCTATTTTGCCCCTCCCCCCTTCCCTGTCACCACTGGTAACCACTAGTTTGTTCTCTATATCTGTGAGTCTGCTTCTTTTTTGTTATAATCACTAGTTTGTTGTAGTTTTTAGATTCCATACATAAGTGCTATCACAGTATTCGTCTTTCTCTGACTCTCTTCACTTAGCATAATGCCCTCCATGTTGCTGCAAATGGCAAAATTTCATTTTTTTTTAATGGCTGAGTACTATTCCATTGTATAGATGTACACCACTTCTTTATCCATTCATCTATTGATGCACACTTAGGTTGCTTCCATATCTTGGAATGGAAGATAATAAATAATAATAAATCATGCTGCTATGAACACTGGGTGCATGTATCTTTTCGAATTAGTGTTTTTGTTTTTTGGGGTTTTTTTTGGATATATACCCAGGAGTGAAACTGCTGGGTCACATGGTTGCTCTATTTTTAGTTTTTTGAGAAATCACCATACTGTCTTCCATAGTGACTGCACCACTTTACATTCCCACCAACAGGGTACAAGGCTTCTCTTTTCTCCATGTCCTCACCAACATTTTTTTGTGTTCTTTTTGATGACAGCCATTCTGACAGGTGTGAGGTGATATTGTGGTTTTGGTTTTCATTTCCCTGATGATTACCGATATTGAGATACCCAACTTCTTAAAGACACAGAAAACTGTTCAGCAGCTCACATAGAAAGAATTACTTTCTATGGAACCACTAAAAGCAAAGTTTAGAAAATGTGCTAAAGCAGTCCTTAGGCTAAATGGGGGGCGGGGTGTGTAGAGTTCAAGGGACGCAAATCCAGGATTCACAGGGTGAACCATAGCTGCAAACAGGTCACTCGGAATCAAGATGCCTACTAAACTGCCAAGAAAGCAAAAAGCCAAAACAAAACACCGACAAAACTTTCCCTCCTAATGAGTGAGTAAGAAGCGTACGGACACAAGGTTAAAGCACTGTCTCCGGCAGTGACACCTTCTCCCACCCAACCAATCTCCGTTCAACCCTTCTGCGGGCAGCTGGGGTGACAGAGACCCCAGAAGGGGATCTTAGCAAGGATATCTCCGGGAGATATGAAGCGAAAGCACAGGTTTCCTCTCCTTTCCTTTCCTTTCCGAATCTAGCCCACGTGCACTTAGACGCTCTGCCACCTGCAATTCGGAAATATGCCTCTCCGGGAAAACAACCGAGTCAGATTCTAGACCTCATTCAGCGTCCCCAAAAGGCCACAACGGCTCTCCGCTAAGCCCGCTGCAAGACCTCTTTCCAAAGCTGTGAGAAACCTGAGGTTCCGGCTCCGAACTCAGAAAGGGACGAGACAGCAGCGGGGGCGCTCCGATCCTATTGCTCTCACCTTATAGAGGATGACGGTCCTGCCGCTGTCCGTCACTAGAAACTGGTCTGTTTTGTCGCTCTGCTCCACTCCAAGGGGTCCGTCAGGCCCGGAACCCAGCGGTACCGCAGTCAACGTGAACCCTTCCTCCAAGGCTGCCATTTTGGTCCAACTTACGGAAGGCCGCGCGTCCGTCCCGGCAGGCTTCGCGCTTTCTCTCGTGAGAACTGGATTAGTTCTCGCTGACTGGATTAGTCACTCGCTAACTGAGATACCTGCTCGTTGAGCCTGCGACCTCTGGCGGGTAGAGATAGCTAGCGGCGCCGCGGACGCCGTCGGGTAGGCGGGGCCTGGAGTTTGCGTCTAGACTCCGCTTCCTAGGCCACACCGCCGAGTCCCGGTGTACTGCTCTAGACGGGAAAGAATGGGCGGGCGGGGGAGATCTTACCTGTTAGGTACTGCATCCGCTGCCCCTTATTCAGCTACGGACTTGAGAGGCTGAAGGATGAGCGTGGCAAGTGGCCCAATATAAATAAACTAGATTTTTTAATTTGAAGCGAACTCTGGGAATTACTAACATGGCTTCATAGAACAGTGTCCCAAAGGAAAAATATTTCTCTCTTCAGATTAACTCTTCATAACGTGCTGTACCTAACTGAAATGCCTAATACCCCCTGCTTCTCAGAACCCGCCACAAAGGTCTAGTCTGCAGCCTTTTGGGCCTCCCAGGTTGTCTGTCCCCCCCCCCCCCCCGCCCCCCGGCTCTCCGAGCACCCGCGGGGAAATATCTCCAGGTTACAGGAAATTCAGACTTGTCTGATGAAGCAGGTGACGTTCAAGATCCCTCCGGGCAATTTTTGGCAAGACCATTTCTGAGAGAGATTTTTAACATAAACATGACTGATTCAATCAATAATATAAAAACTCAAAAAAGATAAATTATGCATGTTCTTAGGGCGAAACCACGTAAACAGGCAATTGTTAACAGATATGTACTATGTGCTACATCACAAAGCAAAATGCCTCCACATCAGTTTAGATTAAGCATCCACACGGATCACCTTGTGTGTGTTTGCTCGTGGCCACAGCTTTATAACACAGGAGATAGGAGGTTATGCAGCTATTATGAAAGAATCAAATGCCTACAGTAAATTCTTTTTTTTTTTTTTTGGCCTCACCATGCAGCATGTGGGATCTTAATTCCCCGAACAGGGATGGAACCTGTACCCCCTGCAGTGGAGGCATGGAGTGCTAAACACTGGACCGCCAGGGAATTCCCTACTGTAAATTCTTAATAAGGCTAATAGGTCTTTTTTTTTTTTTTAATTTTTTTTTTGGCTGCGTTGGGTCTTTGTTGCTGTGCGCGGGCTTTTCTCTAGTTGCGGCGAGCGGGGGCTACTCTTCGTCACGGTTTGCGGTCTTCTCATTGCGGTGGCTTCTCTTGTTGCAGAGAGTGGGCTCTAGGCACACGGGCTTCAGTAGTTGTGGCTCACAGGCTCTAGAGCGCAGGCTCAGTAGTTGTGGTGCACGGGCTTAGTTGCTCCGTGGCATGTGGGATCTTCCTGGACCAGGGCTCGAACCCGTGTGCCCTGCAATGGCAGGCAGATTCTTAACCACTACGCCACCAAGGAAGCCCTAATAGGTCTTTTTTTTTCAAAGTGCCTAAGGACGTTGACTTTGAATTTGTGGCCCCTTTGTTATTTGGAAAAGAAATACAGTGATTCAGCATAGACATCCTGGCCTCTGTGAAACCTTTCTTCTTCTCTCAGCACAGTCTCTACTGAACCGTGTTTTGCACCTACTGCCCATGTTTGAGATGCCGGGCTAGGCACCTCCTCCTCCAGGAAGTCTTCCCTGACTGAGACTGAATTAAATGTCTGATTCAGGGCACCTGTGTTATTGGTACATCCAGTACTGGAATAGCCCAGTTACTCATGTATTTCCCTCATTACGTTTATTTCTTTGAAGGGACTCTGGATTTATCACTAGTATCTGGCATAGTGCCTGTCCCATTAATATTTGGGGGACTAATGAATAAAGAGTGAAAGTTCACTCATAATTCTGTACGTGTGCTTTCACTCTTCTTCAGCTTGAAGATTTTAAAACAGGGGTTCTCAAACTTTGTGATTTCAGGATTCCTTTACACTCTTAAAAATTATTGATGACTGCAAAAAGCTTCTGTTTTTATGAGGTATATCTATTGATATTAACTGTATTAGAAATTAAAAGTGGGGAGTTGAGAAATATGTATTTATTCATTTGAAAATAATAAATGTAAACACGTTAACATAAATAATAGGACTTCCCTGGTGGCGCAGTGGTTAAGAATCCGCCTGCCAATGTAGGGGACACAGGTTCAAGCCCTGGTCCAGGAAGATCACACATGCCGTGAAGCAACTAAGCCCATGTACCATAATTACTGAGCCTGAGTTCTAGAGCCCCTGCTCTGCAACAAGAGAAGCCACTGCAATGAAAAGCCCACACACCGCAACAAAGACCGAACACAGTCAAAAAAAAAAATAAATAACTTTATATAAACATAAATAACATTTTTATAAAAAATAATTTGAGAAACAATTTAGTGAGAAGAGTGGCATTGTTTTACATTTTTGCAAATCTCTTTAATGTCTGGCTTAATAAAAGGTAACCAGATTCTCATATCTGCTTCTGCACTCAGTTCATTGTGGTATCACATGTCATACCATACCAAAAGAGCTCCGTAGTACTCCCCAAAAGGAAAATAACATCTGAAGAGTTTGTCTTCATGGACTCTCTGAAAGGGCCTCAGGACTGCCAAGGGTTGTACTCAGACTTGCACTTGAAGAGCAAGTATAGGGATCAAGTTTACCTGCCTGGGAAGGGTGAGATCAAAGTTCCTGGTTCCAGAAAAGAGAGATGGAGCAACCTTTCCTGAGTTCTGGAGTCTGGACTAGGTGTAAAGACCCTGAGGGAGTCAAAATAGGAAGAAAACGTGGGAGGGCTTTCACCTTGGAAGTGAAAACTAAGCCCCACCTTCCTGGTACCCAAGAGACCTTAGGGCAAGGAAAAGAACAGCTGCTCTAGGAAGGCTACTGAACTTCTTACAGACGCTAATTGGAACAACTCTGACTCTTATTTTTAGCCCTAGAAAAGATTATGCGACTGGAGATAGATCTTTAAATTTTCTTTGTTTCTTTCTCTTTTTGGATTAGTGTTATGAACTAAATTGTGTCCATCCTCCCACCCCACCCCCCAACTCAATTTACCTGTTTCCTTTTCATCACAGTTTTAAACTATTTTATCTATTTATTTGCTCATTACCTAGGCTCCCCGACTGTATCATAAGCTTCGTGAGGGTAGCCGGTCCCTATCTGTCCTACTTGCCTATGCATCCTCATTTCCAAGCACTTCGTAGGCACTCAGTAAAAAATGTGCCATTTGATTGAACGAATCACTTTACATCTTTGTATTCATGGCACCAGCAGTTGTATCTGATCCATATAGAGTTTAATACCTGCTTGTTGAATAAATCACCCTTATATGGCAAGCCATTGTAATAAACGGGAAGCGCACTTGACCCATTAGGATAAAATAAGACTTAACAGATTGAGAAACCCAGAACTGCACTGGCATGTTTGTCCATAAATTTGAGTCTAAGAAGATCGCAGTCCTTTTTGGAAGGACACCAGCTGTAATGAGGGCACTAGGAGTCTTCTGCAACCTAGCCTAAGATAAGAACGGGTCAAAGTGTTCCACTTCCAAGATGAATCGATGCAAGAGCAAGGCCTGGCTTCCATCACTGGTTAGAGACGTTTAAGGGCTGGTCTTCAAAGGCAGCTGTGACCCTGTACATTTTAATGTGAGCTGTGGATGTTCATTCTATCTGGATTGTTTGTCATGTTTATGCCACTTGGCTGCCTAGCTATGAAGGCTGGGGGAAGATACTGCCTCTCACATTCAATTCCTAGAATAGAATCAGGTGATAAATATACAATGAATAAGCCTAATTATATAGTAGGGATGCCTGCCCATATTCAAAAGGGAGAATGTTACCCATTATAGATTCTTCATGGAAGGTTGCCAGTTGATGACTTGTGCATTGCTTGAATGGGATATAGTAAATTCTTTGCCAAAGGAACATTTCTAGAAGCACCATTCTGAGAACAGGATGGATGGTAGATATAAATATTCTACCAAATCTGCACATTATATGGAAGTTTTCTTTTCTTTTCTTTTTTTTTTTGCGGTACGCGGGCCTCTTACTGTTGTGGCCTCTCCCGTTGCGGAGCACAGGCTCCGGATGCGCAGGCTCAGCGGCCACGGCTCACGGTCCCAGCCGCTCCGCGGCATGTGGGATCTTCCCAGACCGGGGCACGAACCCGCGTCCCCTGCATCGGCAGGCGGACTCTCAACCATTGCGCCACCAGGGAAGCCCTGTATGGAAGTTTTAATGGTGCTTAAATGAAGGTTTAAGTTACTCTGAGTTATGTTTTCCAGTTTTAGAATCTCAAAATGCCTTTGAGGCCACAGAAATGAACTGGACAATATTACTGGCACTCAGGCAGACACCTCTGAAGATGTTTCCCACAGCAAATATCAGAGATAAAGGAAGAATCTAAGCTCTTTTTTCATAATCTGTATACATTTCAGTCTAATGCTAGTGCCCTCCCACTGAATGCCAAAACCCAATGGCTGTGTTTGGAATTTGAGGTCAAGCAAGCATTTGTAGTTTAATTGTAATAGGATGATAGGGAAATGGGAGAAAAGACCTGGGTTGAGGGGTTTTAGATGGGTGGGCAGAGCCAAATGCTCACAGAACCCAACAATCTTCAAGAAGAGTTTGGGCTGGGCAACTTGTCATCACCAGGGGTCCAAGTTGAAGTCAGAGGAGCCCTGAACAGTGACCAGAGCTCTGGAAAAGGGAGTGCTGGCAGGTGAATGAATAAACACCCTGAGAAAGGTCTGGCCACCGGAAGTAGTTTCCAGTCACTGGACTGAGGATCAGGGTGAAGCAAGAGCAGGACAGGGCTTCAGATCTGGTTGGAAAACCCTGAAACTTCTCCCTTGTCTCCCAGAGCCAAACTGTACCAATGCATTTGTTCATTTCCCAAATACTGATGAGGGCCTAGGAGCTGTGAATTCCGCAGCGAAGGAGACAGGGGAAGCTCCTCATCTCAGAGAGCTCGCAATCCAGTGGTGGGAGACAATCTGCTCAAGAAAAGTCTCCCTAAAGATGAGACCTT